AAAAGAATTTAAAAACTTCCTTCGCTGAAAAGTTGCTTTCTTTCCCAATCTCTTCTTGTCTCTCCGTTCGTTCCTTCTTCGTTCTCTTTAATTTTGCTCTGTTTCCTCTACGAATTTCAAGAAATCACTGAATTGCGTTAACGCACACACTCACACAGACATGCTCACACACAGACACACACACACACACACACACACACACACACACACACACACACACACACACACACACACACACACACACACACACAGCACACGCACACGCACACACACACACACACACACACACACACACACACACACACACACCACACACACACACAGACACACACACACACACACACACACACACACACACACACACACACACACACACACACACCTTCCGAGGCACAAGTCATCCTCGAAGTGATAAATCGGTTTGCACAGCAGAAGTTATCACTCGAGCCCCGAGGAGATCCGTTAATTAATCAGTCGCCAGGAACGATTATGAAGGATTGCCTTGAAGGATGTCTTTGCAAAATTGGTTTATCCTGCGGGCGGGGAAAAATAATGGAAGAGTTACGGGTTTGTGGGCGTGCGGAATGTTTTAAGAAGGGGTGGGCGTGGTGTGTTGTTTTTGATGGATTTGGGAAGTGTAGTTAAAAAATATGATATGACTGGGGGTGGAATTGTAAATGTGATATGACTGGGGATGTAAATTAGCATGTGATATGGCAAGGAATGGGAGTGGGAATATGAATGGAAATGTTACATTACTGGGAATGTAAAATAATATAAATACGAAAATACGATATAAGTCAACTTCCGCCAAGTTCCCTCTCAAGCACCACCAAGCTCTTTAAACTTCCTCTCAAGCTCCTTCAAGGTCCTTAAGCCCCCCCAAGCTCCAAGTCCTTTTCAAGTTCCTTCTCAAGCTCCTTCAAGGTCCTTCTCAAGCTCCCTCAAACTGCAAGTTCCTTCTCAAGCCCCCCGCCCCCAAGCTCCAAGTTCCTTCAAGTTTAAGTTCCTTAAAACTCCCTCCCTAGCTCTTCAATTCCCTTCTCAAGTTCCTTCAATTCCTTCTTAAGTTCAAGTTCTTCTCAAGCTCCCCCCAAGCTCCATAACCCCCCCTCCTCAAGCTCCTCCTCAAGGTTCAGCCCCAATGGAGCTTTTGGCCCCTCACCCTCGAGCTCCCAATGCCACCCCGATGAAGCGACGCCGTTCGAACCTCATTACACAGACGTCACAGTGGATCATCGGCCGCGGGTGGAAGGATGGTCGTGGGCGTGCGTGGGCGTGGGTGTGTTTGGGGAAGGGGTGGGGTGTATGTGGGTGTGGTGTGGGGGGATGTGTGTGTTTGGTTGTATGTGTGGTGTGAGCCTGCTTGCGTGTGTGTGTGTGTGTGTGTGTGTTGCGTGTGTGTGTGTGTGTGTGTGTGTGTGTGTGTGTGTGTGTGTGTGAATGTGTAGAGAGAGAGAGAGAGAGAGAGAGAGAGAGAGAGAGGAGAGAGAGAGAGAGAGAGAGAGAGAGAGAGAGAGAGAGAGAGAGAGAGAGAGACAGAGAGAGAGAGAGAGAGAGAGAGAGAGAGAGAGAGAGAGACAGAGAGAGAAAAGAGAGACAGAGAGAAGGAGAGAAGGAGAGAGAGAGAGAATGATGAAAGAATAAAGCGTATAACGTATCACCAATAAAGAGAAATATCAATTCACCCGCCTCTACGGGTAAGACCTATCCCATACGCCATTGTGCTTTTGTATTGTCAGGGTCTTAAAAGGGAATACGTAATTAGGTTGTTTTGTTACCTGTTGGACAGACGAGGCCGGGGAGGGGGGGGGAGGGGTTGACAGGTAGATCAATAGAAGGTGAAAAAGTAGAGTAGATAATAGTAGAACTGTTGGGAGGGAGACGGGTAAATAAATGGGGGTAAAATATTGATAGGAAATGATGGTAAATTCGCTCCCTCCTTCATAGCTCCGAATTTACGCGGGTTGGGGGGGGGGGGTCATGGCGTCTCGCTGTCGGTTACATGTCTCTTTTTTTTTTGTTTGTTTGTCTTGTTTCATTTCGGGAAAGGGTAGTATCCTTATGTGAAATATCTCTATCTCTTTCTCCCTTCCTCCCTCCTTCTCCCTCCCTCTCCCTCCTTTTCCCTCTCTCTCTCTCTCTCTCTTTCTCTCTGTCTATGTTTGTATACATCTGTCTATATCTTGGTATCTATCTATCTATACACACACATTCGTACATACATACATACAGTAATTACACACATATTTTATGCGTCTGTATATATTGATTTTTGTTTCTCTATGCATTCAAGTAAGCATATATTTTTTTTCTTGTTTTTATTATTATTTTTCGGCGGAATCCGATGTCAGTCTCGCCCGCCCTCGGAGCGTTCGGCGCGACAAAGAAGAACGATAATTCACGTTTACTTTTTCACTCAGTGCAAATTTGGAGCTTCCTGCAAGTGGCTTTGTTTTCGCAGATTTGCCCTCGGGGAATGGGTTGCGCGAAATAAGATCTATTTTTAAGACGAAGCCAAGGTCGACGTCGCAGAACGAGCAGCAGAAAATTTGGCGGGAAAATTGGGTTGGAATCGCGTTTCGTTTGTTTTCGTGTCTTCATTTGTTTTATTTTTTTATATTTTATTTTTCTTATATTTTTATAGCTTTTATTTTGCATTATGCTTATTGTTCTTATTTTTTAATATCATTATTATTACTATTATCATCATCATTTATATTATTTTGCTTTATTTTTGCGACTATTTCGCTACCGTCCGTCGTATAATTAAAGAACGTAAAGTGGCATGTTTCTTTTGTTCATTTCACCCTTCGGCTTTCCTCATGTGTTTGTGTGTGTGTGTGTGTGTGTGTGTGTGTGTGTGTGTGTGTGTGTGTGCGCGTGCGCGCGTGCATTCGATTACCTGTAATTACCCTGGATCCTCAGGTACGAATTAACCCCGCTAGTAAATCGCTAACCGCTACGAAACCGCTAGTATATCGCTAACTCCGCTAGCAAATTGCTAACTCCGGTAAGTGTGTCCCTTCTTAAATATATATGTAAATATGTATTCATTAGACGGAAGGCTGTAATCACGCGAAGGTTTAGGTGAAGCGGAAGGATTTACAGCCTCGATAATTAAAAGTAATGGGACTCGCGCTGGGCATGTGTCACGTGACTTTTTTTTTTTTTTTCTTTTTTCTTTTTCTTTTTTTCGGTGCAACGGTTTGTAATTAGGGAGCAATAGGTATGCCCAGACCTTCATTAAAAGGGTGTCACTCTCTCTCTTTCTCTCTCATTATTTTTCACTGTTTTTCTTTTATGATTTTCTCTGTCTCTTTCTCTCTTTCTTTTTCTATTTTTTTTTTTTTTCTATCACCTTTTTTCCTTCCCTGTCTGTCTGTCTATCTATCTATCTTCATCCATATATATCTTCCTTTTCTCCCTCTTACCTCTCCTTTCCCTCCCTCCTCCCTTCCTCCTTCTTTTTCTCCCTCTCTCCCTCCTTTCCCTTCCCTCTCCCTCCTCCCCTTCCCCCCTCCCTCCTTCCTCCTTCCCTATCTCCCTCTCTCCCTCCCTTCCCCCTCCCCTCCCCCCTTCCCCTCCTCCCTCTCCCTCCCTCCCCCCCCTCTCTTCTTCCCCCCTCCCCCTTCCCTCCCTCCCTCCCCTCCTTCCCTTCCCTCCTCCCCTCCCTCTCCCCTCTCCCTCTCCATTTATCTGCCTCACACGACACGGCCATAAGTCAGCCGCGAGTATGTATTACTAACGATAATTGCTTCCTTTCTCCCGCGTGCTTTGTCATTAGTGCCTGGCGTCGTTGGAGAGGGAGATATAACACGGTGTTTTTACGGTCGGAGGAAGAGGCGGGGGTTGTTTATGGAAGGGGGGGCGGGGCGGGGGAGGGGGGTTATGCACTGGTTTTCTCGAGCATTGGAGGGTTGATTCTTTGGTGTGTGTGGGATTGGGATTGGGATTGGTTGGATTGTGTGCGTGTTTGTTTTATTTATTTATTATTTATTGTTGTTTTTTTTTTTTTTTTTGGGGGGGGAGGGTTTTTTTGTGCGTTTTTTCTTTTTTCTTTCTTTTCTTCTTTTTCTTCTTTTTTTCTTCGTATTTCTGTTTATGTCTCTCTCTCTCTCTCTCTCTCTCTCTCTCTCTCTCTCTCTCTCTCTCTCTCTCTCTCTCTCTCTCTCTCTCTCTCTCTCTCTCTCTCTCTCTCTCTCTCTCTCTCTCTCTCTCTCTTCTCATTCTCCTCTTTTTCTTTTTTCTTTTTCTTCTTTATTTCTTACTCTTCCGATATTTTTTCTAATAATTACTGTCATAGCGACTACATATTTCTTCCTTTCCTTCTTTCTTTCTCTCTTTCTTTTTGACACGTAAGAAGGAGCGACGTTATCCAGCTCTCGTCTTTCTTTGTCGCTACTCATAAAAAATTGGCTACTCAGAAAATTGCAAACTCTCCGACTGTGACAGGTACCTTATCTTCATAGAGCTAATGATTCTTGCACAGGTAAATTGGGGCGGGTTGGTGTGAGGTCCACGGGCGGGTTCTCAAGTATTTTGTGATTGTTGAAAAGGAGATGGATAGAAAGGGGAAGGGGGTAATTGTTTGGAAATGAGGGGGGGGGGATGGAGGAGGTTTGTGATTGTTGATAAAAAAGATGGGGAAGATTTGTGATTGTTGAAAAAAGAATTGGGGGAAAATGGGGAAGATTTGTAATTGTTGTAAAAATTTAAAAATTGTGAAGATTGATGGTTGTTGAAAAAAAGAAAAAATAGGGAAAAAATCGTTATTGTTGAAAAAAAGGGAATATTTGTAATTGTTGAAAAAGAAAATGGTAGATGGTGTTTTGTTATTATTATTGTTTTTTTTTTTTGTCATTATTATTATCATCATCATTATTGTTGTTGTTTCTATAATTGATATTACATTCTATATCATTAATATAACTATTCTTATCAAGTCTATCCCTTATTATCGCAATTATCTCTAATATTCTTTTTCTTTTTCTTCGCAGGGGTTCCAGTCGAAACTGCTCTTTGGCTCGAAAGAGATTGTGGCGATCAGCTGTTCCTGGTGCAAGTCTGCCTACCACAACAAGGAGAGCTGCTTTAACATGAGCAAGATTGAGGAAACGTGTTCTCTTGGTAAGTTTTTGTTGTTTTTTTCTTTTGTTTTGATGTATTGGTTGTTTTTTTTGTTTTTTTCCTTTGTTTGATGTATTGATTTGATTTTTTTCGTAGGTGGATAGATAGGTGTGGAGGAAGGAAGACAGTTGGTCGCTTGGTTACTCGGTCGCTACTCTTTTACTTCTTTTATTTATCTGTTCTCTTCTTATCTGCCTTCTTCTCTCTCTCTCTCTCTCTCTCTCTCTCTCTCTCTCTCTCTCTCTCTCTCTCTCTCTCTCTCTCTCTCTCTCTCTCTCTCTCTCTCTCTCTCTTTCTCTCTCTCTCTCTCTCTCTCTCTCTCTCTCTCTCTCTCTCTCTCTCTCTCTCCTCTCTCTCTCTCCTCTCTCTCTCTCTCTCTCTCTCTCTCTCTCTTCTCTCTCTCTCTCTCTCTCTCTCCCTATCTCTCTCTCTCTCTCTCTCGTCTCTCTCTCTCTCTCTCTCTCTCTCTCTTCTTCGGGGGGGGTGAAATTGTTAGGATATTTGGTCATATATTTAGTCGTTGTTGTTGCTATCCTTCTTATTTTTGTTTTTGTTTATGGTCGTCGTCATTATCATAGCAATTAGTAGGATTTTCTCTATTCTTGTTTTAAATCATCATTGTTATTATTTTTGTTGTTGTTATCATCACAATAATCATAATCATCTTCCTCATCATCATCATCATCATCATCATCATCATCATCATCATCACCACATCACCACATCATCATCATCATCACTTCATCACCACATCATATCATCATCATCAATCATCATCATTCATTCATCATCACAATCACCATTCATCACCATCATCACAATCACCATTCATTCACCATCATCACCATCACCGCACTGACGTCAGCACCAGCACACCCAGCGTGTATTATTAGCATAAGCAGCAACTCGATAAATCCCCCCCCCCCATATCACTTTTTTTTTAATCCCGATGAGTAGATCCTCCCTTTGAAGAGATCACCCCCCCACCCCCACCCCACCCACCCTCGCCCCCCCGCTTCCCGAAAGAAAAGAAAGGAAAAGAAAAGAAAGAAAAGAAAAAAAAAACACAGACGTGAGAGGAAGACCAAAGGGTGTGATGTGTGAGAATGGAAGGGTGGGGTGGGGTGGGGGTGGGGGGGGAGGTGGCCTTAGATAAGGGGAGGAGGGAGGGGGGAGGCAGTGGTGGAGGAGGGGAGGAATAGGGATATTTTTTTCTTTCTTTTTCTTCGGTTTCTTCTTCTTTGTGGTTTTCGTTGTTTTTTTTTTTCTTTTCCTTCTCTTGTGTTTTTTTCTTTTCTTCTTCTTCTTCTTCGTCCCTCTCTTCCTTCTTTCCTTGTTTTATTCCGTGTTTCCCTCCTTCCTTCCTTCCTTTCTTTCAGTTTCTTACCCTTCTCCTTTCTCTCTCTTTCTTCATCTTGTTATTCTATCTTCCTTCTTTTTCCCCCTTTTTTCTGTTCTTCTCCCCTCTTCTCCCTCCTACCTTCTCTCCTTTTCTTTCTTATCCCGACCCTTCCCTTCCCTCATCCATTTCCCCTTACATTCTCTCCTCCTCCTCGTTTCTCTCTACCCTTCTTGATTCCCATTTCTCTATGTCCCTTCTCCCCTCCCTCCCCCTCCCTTTCCCTTCTTCTCCCTCCCTTCACCCTTACTTCCATTTTCCTTCACCCTCCCTCCCTTTCACCCTCCCTCCCCCCTCCCTTCCCTTTCCTTCACCCTTCCCTCCCCCCTCCCCCCCCCTTCCCTTCCCTTTCCTTCACCCTCCCTTCTCCCTCCCCCTCCTTCTTCTTTCCTTCACCCTCCCTTCTCCCTCCCCCCTCCCTTCCCTTTCCTTCACCCTCCCTCCCCCTCCCTTCCCTTTCCTTCACCCTCCCTTCCCCCCTCCACCCTCCCTTCATCCTTCCCTTCTTCCCTCCTTCTCCTTCCCTTCTCTTCACCCTCTCACCCTCCCTTCTCCCTCCCTTCACCCTCCCACTCAGCTGCACGTGTCACCAGGTAATGGTCACGTCCTATTTGACCTTCGCCGCGTAATGGTCCGGTCGGAGGGATCGTTAAAGTGGCCTCTCCGCTCATCGATATGGTCGTCTTTTTATGTTTTGCGTGAAGAGTTTTTTTTTTTTTTTTTTTTTTTTTTTTTTTTTTTTTGAGGTAGGGGGTGGGGGGAGTGGTAGAGGGGGTGGGAGGGGAGGGGGTACAGGGGGAGAAGGAGGTAGGGTGGGAGGGGAGGGGAGGGTAATGGGGAGAGAGAGGGGGAGATAGATGGGGTGGGAGGGGAGGGTAAAGAGGGAGAGAGAGGGTGGGAGGAAGGTACAGGGGGGAAAAGGGGGTGGGAGGGGAGGGGGGGGAGAGAGGGGGGAGGTAGATGGGTGGGAGGGAGGGTGAAGAGGGAGAGAGGGGGGAGGTGAGGGGTGGGAGGGAGGAGGGTAAAGGGATCTGCTTAACCTAATTTCGTTTGTTCGCTTGTTTTTGTTTTCGGTTTGTTGTTGTTATACTTGTTGTTTTG